TTTAAAAAGAGTATAATAAATAACTGTTCTTTCGTCCAATGTAAAAGTTGAATTGCTTAGCTAAGTTTCATGATGCACGACAGCTTGTTGAATTCCATTGCGTTTTTTTGAGACGCCCTGTAATAGTCTAGAACCTGTATAGTAGTTTGAATGCGTTTCATTTAGCACAGGTAATCTCAGCTGTTTTAGGGTAAAATGAACATATATGGCGGTCAAAATGGCATAAGAGCCAAAACCTGTATCCGGGACGAAATCCTGAAAATGCATGACCCCGCCCTGAAACGGCAGTGCCGACGTAGCTCTAACTTACGAAAAGCAAAAGCAACAGCCTTTCTGAAGTGCTTATAGTGTTTAGAAGGGTTGCTTTTAGGGACCCGTCATTATTTATGGAAGGGAGGAGGGAAAAAATAAGGGGGGGCATATGTATAAATAAATGACTAGAAGGGGGTTATTAAATTTTTTTAAGAAAATGAGGGGGGGGGGGTTGCAATTAAATTTGAAGGAATTTGCTTAATTAAGCATGGTATCCATTTGGTTGTAAATGTTGCGACTAAACCGTGGTCACTGATGTGAAATAGTCTGGATTTATCTTGGCTTCTGTGTGCTGTATGCAAATCAGTCTTTACTGATTGCAGAGATAAATTGACAATGTATGATTACATCAGCTATCTTGATGTGGTTAAATACTGTACATTTAAAGTGCCTATGAAACGAAATTTCACCCCAAATGTTTATGATTGCATTGTAAAGAACACTTAAAATGACTTAATAATTTCTTTTATAGAATTTTGGTAACTTGCTTCCTTTGCAAGATATTCAACTTTGTTTCATATGTAAATATCACCGGTGTGACATCACATCGCATAATGACATTTTGAAAACGCAATATTTTACTTTGATAAAATACTTCTACAAACAAATACAGAGAGTTAATTACCCGTTACGGAAATTAATACATATACAAGGGCAATTTTTAAGTTTTTTAGATACGTATTCGTCAAGAAAACTATACTTTTGTGAAAACTCATTATGTGATGTGATGTCACACCGGTGATATTTGCATATGAAACAAAGTTGAATATTTTGAAAAGGGAGCAAGTTACCAAAATTCTATAAAAGAAATTATGAAGTCATTTTAAGTGATCTTTACAATGGAACCATAAACCTTTGGGGTGAAATTTCGTGTCATAGGCACTTTAATTATGCAAGGTTAATGGAAGATGTATTATGCAGGCCACATCCGCTGGGGGGAGTCTGTGACGTCATATCGACCAAAGGGGGTTGTTTTGCGCCTTCTGATCAGTGCATCGGTCTTGGTAGATTATTCTGCCATTGTATGCTTTGCCTAGCTGCAGCAAGTTAAGCGGTTCGATACATTTTCCCCACCCACCCACCCATCCATGTTTATTGTTTATTCTAGAGGATTTTATCTGGTAGTATGTCATTTTATTTTATATAATTTTTAATCTCACATAAAATAGCATTTATAGACCACTATACATTGTACCGTATTTCGTTTCCACTGTCTTGTCAGTGTGACTGGTGCCGGACTGCCTCGTACCCAGGCGCTTACATGAAGTATTCAGGTAGGCAGCCAACGCGCGAAGGGACTGTTGGGAAGGGTGCGTGCTGCGGAGCGCCTGGCAGTTCTTGTATACTGTCATGGCGGGAAAACATGGAATTTAATACAAAAAGTTACCATATCGTCATATATTCTGTGTGTAAAACCTTACTTTGTGATTAAGAGTTGAATTGAACGCCATTGGCAAGTAATAATACATTTGTAGATGTTCGATGACATGCAAAATGCGCGAAAAATTATGAGTAAATAACATGGCAAGTTAACCGTGCGAATATTTCGAATATGTCATTCGGTATTACATGGAGAATAATAGAATGCTATCAGTTGCTTAGCATAAAACAGTAACAGAGAAATGATTAGAAAGTAATATAATTGCTTTTGTATTAATAACTTCTTTAGCTGAAAGCTCAATCAGTCGATCACAATGCCAATGGCAATTTCTATTAAATGTATACTGTAAACAAAAGTCACAAAAGCCCAAGTAAATAAAAGTTCACAGCCGTAAAGTTTGAAATATTTATTACAACAGTGCAATTTCATAGTCTGTACCTTTATATAGTTATAGCTTATAAATCTAGTACATGCAAGTCTAGTTCTTCAACGCTTCGGTTGTTGACATGTTAATATTGGAATTTCCATGGACTTTAAATAAGGCATATTCAACAAAAACAAGTAGCAAAAAAGCGTAAACGACAACGAAATAGCACAACTTGCAAGAAATCGACTTTCTTGCAAGAAATCGACCAAGAACTGCCAGGCGTCTCGCAGTTCAAGTGCACTCTTCCCATCAGCCCCTTCGCCATCTCTCCCCACTACAATACTTCATGTAAACTCGTCATATGCGCATCACTGTTTTTTTACAAAGAGACGCCTGGGTACGAGGCAGGGTGCCGGAGGTATGCCTTGGCAGAATGGCTATCTCCTTTTGCTGTTAATCAAGATTACTGATTGTTACTCTCATTGTTTCTGCGCAGCTGCTATGACAATACTTCGTGCCATCAAGTCTAGTTGCAGCCTTGGACAACAAACGGCACTTGCTTCCAAACACTAATACTCTACCGTTAAACATGGTTACTATCGCTCAGACCAAATGGAAACCTGATTTTAGTGTTATATATAAAAATACTCCTCTTTTAATTATAATTTTCTGCTAATATATATTTTTGGTCGACGTTAATATCTTGTCAGTTCCATATTCTTATTTTATAATTAACACTATAACGCCTGGGTATCCCCCGTTGACGAGTAAAAATGAAAATGGGAGAGGGGAGGGGGGGGGGTCAAAGAAAAATATTCTAATATGCAGGGGGTCATCATTAAATTTCTGCTCTTTTAAGGAGGGGCTTTCAATTTTAAAAATTTTGGAAAGAAAAAATTCCCCTTCCCCCTTCCATAAATAATGACCGGTTCCTTAGGATTGGTTATTGGAAGGAAACATTTATCTAAGTATAATATTTTACAAGAAAATAACTATGCACCACCCCTGGTAAACAGCTAATTAGGCTATGCATAAAATAACTAATATGCCTGGCGAAAATTCAATTTTTTTATTCCCTAAAAGAATTATCATGGGATGAAAAAAGATGCTTAATTAAATATATAATTATTGTAGATTTCGTAAGGATTGTCATTGTTTTTCTATAAATATAATACATTTTATTTCACTTATTCCCCACGAAAACACGATTTTAGCCATATTTTGCCATCTTGTTTGCCTTTTGTCGCCGAGTCTCGCAAATATCATCCAGTTGCTGTACTTTTACTTAATAATAAATTACTAGAATAAGTTTCGTCAGATTTTGAAGCAGTGTACTTTATCTTCGATATTGTGTCTTTCGATATTTCGTCAAATATGGCGCATTGGCATTGCATTGCCTCGCCGCTTCTCTCTCCGATAAATGCCACTTATTCGTATTCCTATATGTATTTATATATTACCGTATCCAAGAGTCCTTCATTGTAGTATAGCCCCAATCGAAAAATTGAAAACATTAGTTACACATGAAAGGGAAAAAACCTCCCATAAACAATTATGATCAAATGAAAAACAAATAATTTGAATGTCACTCACAATCTTTGTGAAAATTCCTCGTGGCTACATGACAGGAGGGGAGCAGAATATCTTTACGAAACCGGTTTGTTCGCCACCACAGCAACCCAACTAAGCACATTATATTTATTGTATTTTTATGATTTATGATAAAAAACAATAAATATTTGCGTATTTTTAGCGATTGGCGCCACAATGCAATGGCGCCACATTTCACGAAATGTCGAAGGACACAATATCGAAGATAAAATACATTGCTTCAAAACTTGACGAAACTTGGTTGAAATCTTCTTTAGTTGTTTATCATTATGTACGTAAAAGTGCAACAACTAGATGATATTTGCGAGACTCGGCGATAAAAAGCAAACAAGTAATCGACAGACGTATTTTCGTGGGGGGTAAGCCAGTGAAATAAAATGTACTATATTTATAGAAAACAATGACAATCCTTATGAAATCTACAATAATTATATTATATTTAGCATAGTTTTTCATCCCAAGCATGATAATTTTTTTAGAAGATAAGAAAATTGAATTTCTCCCAGGCATATTAGTTAATTTTAGGCTGATGACCTAGGGTGGTGCATATAGTCATTTTCTTGTAAAATATTGTAGCCTACTCAGACAAATTTTTCCTTCCAATAACCACCCCTAAAAGCAACCCTTCTAAATACAATAAGCACTTCAGAAAGGCTTTTGTTTTCGGAATTGAAGTTAGAGCGATGTCGGCACTGCCATTTCAGAGCGGGGTCATTTTCAGGACTTTCGTCCATTATTCAGGTTTTGGCACATATGCATGCCATGTTGACCGCCATGGTCATTTTACCCTAAAACAGTTGAGATTACCTGTGCCATATGAAACGCATACAAACTCCTATACAGGTCCTAGATTAATATGCATGACTCATGCACTCGCCGAGGCGGCTCGTAAGTCACTTTTTTGTTTGTTCTTCTCGCATTATGGCGCCATACTGTCTATCTATAACAGAACAGACAACGATTAAATGTAATCTATTTGTTAAATATATACTATTGCATGCACGCCAATTTCCCTGTTAAAAAAACGTGAAGTGCGAATCTATACAAGTATGGAAGTTCAACCGAAATAATGATAGTATATCAAAGACGTCGACTTCGGTAATGTTTTTGAAGTTGTACTTTCATCACTCGTGCATGTTGGAACCGCGTGCATGCATGTTGGAACCGTTTGCTTGAAATTATCGGCTGCGAAGCATTTCCTAATTCGATATAATCTGTGAGGAGGAAAATTAATTACAATCGAACTATTCTAAATGGATGGATTTAAAATAAAAATTATTTAATAACTTTATTCTACTGTTTATTTAGACTGGTACAAAATTAGAGAGAATGGTCACAGATTTCAAATTTGTGAATAAATCTGCTGATGTTCTCAAATCATCTGCTGGAAACTTATCATCGTTTTTAAAGAAAGAAGTGATAAATCCATGGAGTGTATCATCTGATTCTGTACAAGTTATTAAAGAAGAAAATGTGATTTTTGAATATGCTGGCCAGGAAAAATACAATTCCGCGAACCTTTTGGGTGTTGTTGTTCTTTCAATACTGTTTGGAATTATTCTTAGTGGCCTTGGTGAGAAGGGAAAGCCGATCGTGGACTGGTGTAGTTGTTTGTTCAACGTTGCCATGAAAACAGTTGATATACTTATATGGTACGCATTGAGCTATCGACCAATTAGTGATTTACAAGCTGAAATAATTATACAGTGTGTCTAAAAAAAAGTGAACCCTTTCAAATTCAAATGAGCTATAACGTATTGTTGTAATATAATTGCTTTGAATAAATGACTGGGTAAGAACACAAGGTCTTGTAGTCATGGGACAAAACTCAAAGAAATAAAATTTATAAAATATAAAAGAAATACAGAATTCCTTGTGTTCTTACCCAGCCATTAATTCAATTAGAGCTGCCAAATTACTACAATACGTTAGAGCTAATTTGAATTTGAAAGGGTTCACTTTTTTTTGAGACACCCTGTAGAGCGTTTGTACATGACGTCACAGCCGCCATGTTCGTGCTCCAATTCAAGAGAATTTTAATTAGACTCTTTTAAGTTGGTCCCTGGGGAATGGGTGCAAACGCTCTATAGGTTAGAGAATACATACAGGGAGAGTAAATTCATTGCAATATGCATGCATGATAATTATATAAATAATGCCTAAATTAAGAAATGTGACTCTCTCCCTATGTCAGCGGCTCCAGATTTGCAATCGTCACGCTCTTTTAGAAAACAACTTACGAACAAAGTCCTAAAAGCACCAAAGGACATAAACCAATCCAGTTTAATTTTCTTAAACTTTAGGTTTTCGCCCATTGGTGTCAGCAGTATAGTTGCCAGCGAATTAGTGGCAATGAAAGATATTAAAGGCATAGCAGAAAATCTTGGACTACTTATTGGAACAGTGTTCATTGGATTAACCGTTTATGGATTTTTAATTCTCCCGGCTATATATGCAATTTTATTGAGAAAAAATCCTTTCCGACTTCTGAATTGTGTTGCCAAATCACTGCTTACTGCTCTTGGTACCGCTTCGAGGTGAGGCATTGACGTTAATAGCTCTCATTACAATGTTTTGAAGTACCATTCAAATGGTCCAGCTGAGGCATTCTGTAATGTAGGTATTGCGGTTTAGAACATATATAGTTAATTAAATTAAGTTATCATAATTGTCAAATGGTGTTTAAGTTTTTTTTAAGATATAGTCGTAACCATGTATACAGCGGAAGGTTTTTGCAAATTATGGCAAAATTCATTCCTGTACAGCACTGAGAATTTCGCAAACGTGTCATGCTGGCTTACCTCGAATGTGAAAGCTTCCAGCCTATATCCAGTGGACAATAAATACATTACTAGCCATGAAACAAACGAAATATTATTACAAATATATTTCTTTCAAATTGATTTTGAATGTTTATTGCTTCAATTTCTTTAATTTTCATCCCGTTTGTACTAAATAATATGCCATAAACATAGAACATATCATTCTTACAAATCTTATGCTTTTTTGGTTTTGGAACTGCTACTTTTTGGCGGGTAAATTACTTCACAAACCTGGCGCCAAACAATTTAAAATAAGCTATAGGTGATTTCATGTATCCATTTAGAAGAGCAGACTAAGGATATCTTAAAACCGAAATCGGTTTCGAATACAACCATCGGGAAAGTAGCAAAGCATCTGACGTTTGGAGGGAGGGGGATGTCGGAGAATTATCCGTGTAATAATTATAATAAAGCTTTTTGTGATTGATTGACACCTTCATACTAAGTTTTGGGAGAAAAGTGGGGTCTGGGGAAAATTTTTACATTTTTGAAGCTCTAGGACTGAATATCTGGCGTTTTCTAAAGCAAATTCGCAAACAAATTGCATGTAAATTGACTGTATTTTACAAAAATGGTTATCATTTCACAAAAATAATTACTTTATTATGCAAGTTTTACCTGAAAATGTCAAAATTTTAACTTGAATTTTAAATGATTTTTGCCTGAATTTCAGAGTAGGAGGAGTTTCCAAACCATCTATTCTATCAACTATGGTGGGAGTGAACACTCCATGTGGCGTGCTGGACCAAAACTTTGAAAAGTTTAGAGCCCCCCCCCTTCAGTATATCGACAACTTTCAGAGGCCCCCCTTCTTTGTTCCCAGAAAATATTTCGGTGCCCACCCCTTAACATCTTCATCCCCCCGGCATAATAAATGTACTTTGTAAACAGTCACAACAATAGATATTCGTGTCGTCCTGTAGAGTGTATATTACAGTCATTTACTTTTAATATACTGGATTTAAAACATGATGAGAATGATTCAAATGACGAGAAATATATCCAGGGTCACAATAACCAGTGATTTGCAAACATAACATAAATTGGCAAGTAATACAAAGCGATATATCCCGCACGACAACACCTGGCTGGCCTAGCCAAGGTCAAAATAAAAATATAAACAAAACCTATATATGGCTATATTCGGAACCATATGGCTCTAAATTACACTTGACAAATCTTGACAAATAAATCAAATTTTGTATCTCAACCACAAATTTTGAGGTTAATACGATAAATACATTGAACAAAAACAGCAAAATCAAGACACTGTAGTAGTGACTGCATATATAGTTAATATTATGAAAAGAGTATGAACAAAGCAAACTATTAAAAGTTTAAGTTAAATATTGCACTCTAAATAGACTTTCCAAAGTCTGCGGTTCGTGGTTCCTGGAAGCGACGGACTTTTCTCACCCGCAAGCGCGCCAAATTCACCGGTGCATTTTTGCTCCGGTGACGTCAGTGAATGCTCATTATTATTATGAACAAAACAATAATTCGAAGAAAACAAAAGATATGTGGATATGTTTTAACACAGCAATACCGGCACCAGAACCATTGGTCATTGGAAACGAGGTAGTGGAAAGAGTAAATTCTCATAAACTGTTGGGTGTCTGGCATCAAAACAATTTGAAATGGAACTGTCATGTTAAGAACATTGTAAGGAAAGCAAATAAACGAATGTTTAGTCTGAGAGAATGCCGTAGGGCGAATCTTCCTCCTGAGGTCGGTATTACATGTTATGAATCCAAGATTAGACCTGTTTTAGAATATGCAGCTCCGATATGGGGTGGTTTACCACAATATCTCATTGATGAAATAGAGAGCGTTCAAAACAGATGCATCAAAATCCTCGGCACATCTCGGTGCAACTTTGAAACGCTAGAACAAAGAAGGGCACACCTAACTGTTAAGGAATACCAAAGAATTCTAAGTGATCCGACCAACCCATGTAATAAACTTATCCCCCAACCTTTTACCCATGAACACGATCTAAGAACAACAAGTAATCTACCATATGTTGTATCGTATACTAAAAGACACCGGCAATCCTTTATACCTAGAGCTATATCCCTTTTAAAACAGTCCTAAATTAATTTTATAGAATATATAACTAGTATAAACATTTTTAGCAACATTGATGTAAATAATAGTAAAATTTCTTCTTATCAATTTTAACCTTAGCACTTCTTGTAAATCCATTGTACTTTTTTAACCAAAGATGGATATTAAATGTTATTATATTTATATAATGAACTAGTGAAATCGACATGGTGAACGTCTACTATGTCATAATTGATTTTCGCGCCAAATTTTTCAGTAAAATTCAAAATCAGGCAAGTGACACAGGTCGCTCGCTTTCGTCTTTCTCAAGCGCTCCCTTCTTGCTACGCGCGGTCCCTAGGGAGCGACTTGGGCAAGTCTACACTCTAAAGAGTAATGGCATTGTACGAACCCGTATTTTGCTGTAAACAATGTCATTTTAATAGTAATATAAATAATACAGAACACTGACCCGCCATTTTGAATGTGCGAATTCTACCATGCAGGAGATTCCCGCCGAATTTTCCGTTTTCCTCCCTCGCGTGCCGTCCCACGTGCGCTTAATGACGTAAACAAACGAAAGCGCCTGGGTACGAGGCAGCTTCCTAACATCACCAAGTTCCGGATAGCAAAACATATTGATATGAAACATGTGTTGATATCTTTTTACTTTTTTAGCTGCTCCAACAAGGGCAAATAATGTCACAGGGGGTCCAACTAAGAGCTGTGTTATGAATATGAATAAAACATTAATTAAACGTAATATGAATAAAACATCATAACGTAATATATTTAAATTATTGCACTTACTTGTATATTAAATCATAAGAGCTTGTATTTGCAGTGAATAGCTTTTAACAGGGCGCTTATACACGCTCAGAAAATCGCTCAGAAACATTTTGATTCGAACGATTGTTCAAATATGGCGAATAAATTGACAAAACGAAAATATTACATGACGTTCCAACGAAAGTAACAGCAAGGATTGCGGGCGCGCGAGCAAGCGAAAAGGCGAGGGAAGAAATAAATAGAAGGGATGAAACAAATATCACGTGACTTTTTAAAATGCTTCTAGACTACCCGTTTAAGCTTTTTGTGGGGTTTTTAAGGCTCAGTCGATGTTCTCTTACATGAACAAGCCTAGTCATTACCAAAAAAGCACTGATCAATCTAATTTATGTGATTTATAACAGCGAGCATTCTTGGCCATTATCGCGAGATGTGTTCCATAAGTAGCCTGTTCTCGTGACGTATGACGAAATAATAATAAAACTAAATAATGTAAAAAAAACCGTTGGTCGCTACATTTAAACATTTCATATTAGCCGGTATAGCTAAACATTGTTTATTTTCATTAATTAAGCGCGTAGGCGTTGTTGGAGTTGGCAGGAGGCATTTTGGAATTTTCCGAGAGAACAGGCTACTTATGGAACACATCACACGATCGCATTACCGGTGTTTCATCCCTTCTATTAATATCTATTACCCTCGCCTTCCGCTCGCGCCCGCAATCCTTGCTGTTATTTTCGTTGGAACGTCATGTAATATTTTTGTTTTGTCAATTTATTCGCCATATTTGAACAATCGTTCGAATCAAGTGTTTCTGAGCGATTTTCTGAGCGTGTATAAGCGCCCTGTTAAAAGCTATTCACTGCAAATACAAGCTCTTATGATTTATACAAGTAAGTGCAATAATGTAAATATATTACGTTATGATGTTTTATTCATATTACGTTTAATTAATGTTTTATTCATATTCATAACACAGCTCTTAGTTGGACCCCCTGTGATAATGTTAGCCAATCAGCGCGTTTGTTTACATTTTGCGTTCTTGACCAATCAGAATGCCTGAAATTCGAAACATGTAAACAAAAGGAGTGAGAAAATAACACCTTGTTCCACGCTGTCGGTGACATTCGATATTAAACTTTTTTCGCCAAAACTGACAAATTCTGCTAAAGCATGCTTTCTTCTTTAATTTCCTCGGGGGGATTTTTAAAATTCAATCTAGAACGCGAAATATTTATCTTTGAATAACAGTGTTTCGACGCGCGTAAAATAGCAGACTCTCACTTGCACTATCTTTACACACACATAAAAAATTGGTAGATTTGGCAGTTTAAACTTATTTTCCCCACACCACAGCTGACATGTTTTTAAATATTACCTATCTGATCTCATCGATCTCATTTCGCATCGGAAATGCGTCACAACGATCCAGGACTGACAGGTACAATATCGCATGACTCATTACTGTACATTAAAAGTACATATGACATATCCGGTTGACAAAATGGCGATTGTCTGACAGACCTTCGCGAATGGCTTAATATTTTTGCTAATAAACTGTTCACGAGGGTTTCGTTCTGTTCGTCTTCTGGTCGTCGTCAATCGTCATGGGCTGCCTCACTTTCTTGGTCGCTTTCGTCCTCTTCAAAGCAAGTCGCCGGGGCAATCAGCGTTACTATTTGCTGTCTTTCGAAGACCTTCCAAGAGCTTCAACATTTGCCAACGTTGTTGCTTCACAAACTGG